CGAACCTTCAACAGTCCGCATTCAACGGTCATTCGAAGCCATAACGGTTGATGACAAAAAACCTGCATTACCCTAAGGACCCTAAAGTATGGGAATTATGGTATATTCCTTAATATGGGTAATGCATTTTCTATATCACCAACCGAAACCCCACCTCTTTGCTATTAACATATCCTCTGTGTGCCAAAACCCTCCTGTCAGCCGTGAACCTTACTGGCACAGGGATTGTAAATTCCCAAACACCCCTCGAACCCTTAAGGTAAAGGGGTTTAAAGTTTCAGCCCTTTCAAGAAGTTCAAAGGGCCTAAAGATTAAACCGCAAACCCTTTAAAATTCCGGCTTACCGACGCGCCTAACCCTTCAAGACATATTGACAGGGCTCTGTGGACTCGGAGAGCCATAAATACCAGTAGACGAATTAGCACCCTGAGTGAGGCTGTCCTCAGAACTCGCATGCAACTCGCTGGATCCTTCATGTAAACCCTGACACCTAATCGCAAACCCAATCATTTAAACTCAGATGCGAGGCAACTCAAAACCAAACGTTAATTAACCCAACCTGAACCCCTCAAAACTGCAACCTGGAGAACCCTACGAAAGGACACCCGTCCTCCCCCGACACATAGGGGCCTCAGGAAACAATGGAATGGGCTCCAATCTGGACCGTCACCCGTCACCCTGTACTCCACACCCTAACACCAAAAACTCTCAAGAACATCCTCAACTTTATAAGCCTTAAATCCGAAAACCGAAAGTGCAAAAACCCGGGCCACCTCCACCTCCAGCGTTCCTTCCGTCTCCTCCCAGCGACGCTTCCGCGGCGAGGCGCTCGCCATGGTGGGATTTAGGGTTTAGGGATGTAGGTGGGGGATTAGGGTTCTGGGTTTAAGGCTTGGTGGGTTTGGTGAGTTTGGCTTGTTCGTGGTCTTGGGGTTAAGGGGTTTGGGGCTTTGGGGGTTAGGCGGTTAGGAGCTTGGGGTTGTGAGGGAGTAGGGCGGGTGACATGGCCCCCACAATCTTTTGAGCCTGGCGGTCATCTCATGATGACCGTGAGAAGCTGACCCTGAAAGACCCCACAAAAACGAATATAATATTGAAACCTTAGTAGTTAAAATAGGTTTTTGGGGTCCTTTAAAGTGTAATTATGCAAAGAACCATAACAAATAATATATTGGCAATTATATATATAGGGTTTCACATAACCCAAACATAGGGAGGGATCCTTCGAAGGAGCCGCGGTATATTCTTGAAACAAGTAGTCCAGCAAATCCTAGAAAACCTTAACAACACCGTGGTCAATCCACCGAAAACATGTTGGGGCTCTTTGTCAGCATGTGCACTTTAAACCCTAAACCCATAGCCCGTGGACTCTGAACCGCAAGCCTTGAAGCCTAAGCCACTCCTTGAGTCCCCAAGCTGGGGGGATCAGTATCTAGGTCACAGCGAAATGTAGTTCCAAACTGCACACCGCCCTGTTGCAAAATGGCTCTAAACCCTAAACCCTGAACCGGCGTCCGCTCTGTGTTTCGCAATCGCTCAGTGCTGAGGATCCCTGCGCAACTCAAGGTCTGTTGAGGAACATGGAGAACCATTGGGTACCCTAAAATAACACAACATGCTGTCTGCAAGGTCCCAATAATGTATATTTAGGCTTACTTCCGAAATTATCATAACCCTACAATCGACGAGCTTTTGCTTCAGGACTGAAATGTTGACCTTGGGTTGGGGATGAAGACCCTGATCCTTTGGGTCATTTTTTTACAACTGCGAGGACAGCAGGTCGCACGCGATGCATTATCTGCGATAGCGGCGAAAGATAGCCTCAAGGGGCTGTAGACAGATACCTGGAGAGGCCACGTCCCGTCAACGTCCAAACCTAGTGACAATCCTCATACATGATAAGGACTGTCCTTGAACTGTGGGCTAATTACTGGGCTCTGTGGGCAGCTTCAAACCGATCCATGCCAAAGGCCGCGCTTTGTGTCGATGTCGTTTGGGGTCTGTGTGGCTGGCAAACCGAGGGTAGAAGATGTCTGTACCTTCCCCGTGTAGTAGCCTGACCCACCCAGATATCGTACATCCGATTCTGGCAATCCCTAGATGTAACACGACCTTCCTTGCACCAGAAACGCCATACAGAAACGCAGACCGAACATGCTTCTACATGTTGTGCCCTTCCACGTGGGTATGCATGACTGCCTATTCCTATATACAGACAGAAGGGGTTACAAACACCCAACATCAAGATGCAAAACTATCACCCTGAGCCTCGAACAGCGAATAAACAGGTTTACCTCCTCGTCACCCTACATCCTGAACTCTAAACTCTAAAATAAACTGTAAATCCCGGAACCCCGATAATCTGCAAGCAAATCCTGAACCCTCCCAAGCCCTACAAAACAGTAGGTTCTGTCTCCCGTATTTTAAATCCTCCGTTCGTATTTTGCAGGTAGCAGGGCTCCGTCCCGTCGGAGCGATGCGCGGCACTCGAAATCTGTGGTTGTGTCGTGCTGTGCGCGGATTTTGATGTCGTGCCGACACATAGGCCGCGAACCGCTGGTTGGTCTGCACATGCTATTTGACTCAAAATACTCAGACGTCTGAGGGGTCCAGCTCCGTCTCGGAATCGTCCGCAGCCGAGGTCTCGCTCTGCTGCGACTCGGCCTTCGAGGTGTCAAAAACCGCCGGAGGTTGCACTGCCAGCGGAGCATCGACTGCACGCCGCCCAAAGAACTTCGAATTTGCGTCAGCTTCCCCGGATAAGGCACATTGTGCGGAGAGCTTGTTGTGCGGGCCGTCCAGGGTCATGTCAAAGCACACGTGCACGTCCGGCCGTGCCTTGCGAATGGCCACACGGAAGAGTCGGTTTTAGTAATTAATAATAAATCCATACGTGCTCGACATCCACGGGCCAAGTTCTGAGGCGGCGGCAGAGGTGCGAGACGAAGGGACAGTGCAGGTAACCGGGCTCTTCGCGCTGCATCTTCGCTGATTGCAAAGTGCATCCGTGCACAGGAAGGACCACCTGCAGGGAGGGGACTGATCCCTTCGCACGGCGCTTCACCTCGGACGCTTGAAAACGTGTCCAAAAAGCACGTGCAGCAGAGATGAAATAACTGACTTGCAACAGCTCGGCCGGGCCGTGACGAGGCCTCACAGCGTGCAAGAACCGGCTCGGAATCATGTGCACGTATCTTCACGACCACTACTAGCTCTTACCGAACCAAATGCCGCCACGAATGTCGCGGTAGTTGCGCTTTAGTAATGCGGATCCCGGAGACTAATGTTTGGCAAGGTTACAAGGCAACAGACCCCGTGTTGTGTCACGACCAAGCTTTCTCTGCCAGAAATGCATGAGTGTGAAAGTCAAGAGTTCGTTGCACCGTGACGTAATCACGTACATGTCCCGGGTGGACAGGTCCGACTCGACGGGTGTAACGACCGGATCCTTGCAGTCGGCAAGGCTCAAGCTCAAAATAGCTCGCAAACCCTTCTGACAGCCAAACACCTTAACATCAACATGGAGTGCTGCCGCATCGAAGGGAACATCCGTGCATGGTCTGTGACCCTATAAGTTATAGGGTATACGACCGAGAATGACCCCATGCATATTGAACCCCTAAACTCAGTACTACAGGGTATCGGATCGGCAGGGGCCCTAAGCCCCAAACCCCAAACCCCTAAACCTTAAAGCCTATCCTCCCCCCTTGGCAGTGCTATCTCCGCCTGAGACTCCGTGCTAGCCTTCTTTGGGCACAACGGCTCAGGATCGGGCAATCTTCTCAAAAAGACGAACAATTTCTGTCTGTTTAGACTTTTGTCCTTGAGGGTTTGCCCTAAACCCTCAACCCTAAGCCCTATAGTACTATAAACCCTGAACCCTACTATACACCCTAAACCCTAAACCCGTAACCTTTGGAGTTTAGGCCTTTGAGTTTGGACACCTTTGCTCATCAGGGCCGCCCGTGTGGTGCTCGAATCTCAGTCCCTATAAGTATCCTGTTAAGACTACAGGCAACGGGTGTGGGGGCCTTACAAAGGTGCCTTAATAGTTAGAACAGGGTTTTGTGCTCCTTGATAGTTGCTTTATGAAACACAACGAACATTTGCCACTGGCTCCCGAATGACGAAGGGCTGCTGCGATGCAGCAGCAACAAAATGTCAAAATGGATGAGGAGTTGCTTGAAAACCGTACCAGGCATTTGGGAATGACTCAGGCTTAGGGCTTCGTGATTACGGGTGAGGTCGTGGGAGAGTTGCCCAATAAATGCTGTAGCATGCAGGGAGTTACACATGGTTGTGGATCCTTGCACATGTTCATGGAAGTATGTACTCATGTCGGCGAACATGCATGTGGCAAGCGTCTATGCGTGTGAACAACCAGCCACACCTGTCGATAGACAGACAGGTACAGATGACATACGCAGGTGACTGAGTCGGCAGCTACAGAGAACGCATGGATAACGAATTTTGAGAAGGCCCGAATTTCAGGTCAGCTTGAGCATGCATTGACGGCGGTCAGAAAGCCGAAGTACCATAAATCAAAGATATCTATAGTAAATGTGGCAGTTTCCTTATTGTGGTACCTTAAAAGTGAACTCCTTAACTACCCAAAACCTTGATCTTGCAACAAGACTGTGGGATTGTCTCGGAAGACCTTGTATGTGTAGGCTTGCGGGTTTAAGCGTGAGGCCCTACAAATCCTAAAAGTTGAATCCTGAATCGAGGGGACAGGTGTTTAGGGATTAGGTTTGTGGGGCTGGGGAACCCTAAGCCCTAGATGATTAGACGCCGCAAGCGCTGGAGGTAGCTGGTCTTGGAATTTCCCATGGACTGAACTCCCTTTTGGCCACCTGCTCTTTGTAGGCATGCTGATATACTCCCAAACCTCATGCTCATTTGTCGGCACTCAGCCCTTAAACCCGATAGTCTCTTTTAATGGCGAACCTTCAACGAGCACCCGGACAGCCTCATGGAAACCCTAACGCCCCCAGAAAAAATCAGTGTTGCCAGGGCATTTGGGGCATCTGCTGCCATCCACCATGCGGGGATGGCAGTGGCGTGCCTCGCGGTGTGCCTCGGGTCCGGGCTGATGACTTAGGGGATTGCTTTCAGCTTGATTCTTCCTAAACACCATATCCTAAACTTCCTAAACCCTAGGTCCTGTTGAAGAGCCGCAGAATAAGCCTTCAGGGTGCTTCTTGTTTCAATTCGTGCAATGTTGAAGCGCTCGAGGATCTAGAGCTCACCTACGAGCACCCTAACTTGTACTACCTTCCGGGTGGATAGCCCCGTATGCGTTGTCAATCGTATGGTATCCAAAAAATGCTGCTATCTAGGGCTTTAGGAATGAAAAACTACTAGACCCTAAAGTCCAAACCCTCCCAGGGCTTACCGTGAGGGGGGACAAGGTTTTCCTTTGAAGCTTTGGAAACACATTAGGGCTTCAGATTGAGTGTTTAGGGTGTAAACAGAAACCCAGGCCCCCGGCCGGGAGGATCTAGAAAGTAGATCCCCTAATTTTGGGCCCTATACTACTAAGGGTACTTTATAGGAACCCCCAATGAAGGGATCTACTTTTTGGATCCTCCCGGGGGTCTGGGAAACTGCTCAGGAGGCTTGGTGGGATTTTAGAAACTAGCTTTGTATCATGGTCTTGTGAGGTTTTTTTACGGTTTCATAGGGGTTTGATAAGGACTCACAGGAATGAGTAGGTAGGACCAAGCACCACTGCAATAGCAACCCTCCCGATCCCAACCCTACTGGTAACCAATACCCTTAAAGCTAAACCCAAGACGTTCCAAAATCAATCACCGAAGCTTCTACCCAGGCGCTCTGCTGCGAGAGCGAGAGAGGGTGCAGGTTGCCCAGGAAAGGAAACTTTTCCTGCATCTCGTGCCTGTCTCGGAATTACAGACTGGGCTTAGCATTTCGGGTTTAGGGTTTAGGGTTAGGGTCCAGTCAGAAAAGCATCGGGGTTGGGGCGTAAGAACCCAGACCTTCCAAAATCCCATGGAATATACCCTGAATTTTAATAGGATCCCCCATATGATTTAAGGTATATTCCTTAATTAAGGGATTTTGGAAGGTCTGGGAATTCACAGGTTTCGGCTCAAAGGCTAAAGGGTTGAAGAGCTCCAGGGGCGTTTGCTTTTGGCTCAAAGCTGTCGGGAGTTTTCTGGAATCTCGCGCCGCTGGAGGATCTAAAAAGTAGATCCCTTAATGGGGGTTACCATAAAGCACCCTCAGTAGTATAGGGCCCCAAATTCGGGGATCTACTTTCTAGATACTCCCGGGGGTGGGAAGGGAACCATGGGCTTACGGAAAAGAGAAGAGCATACGGGTTTACGGATACCGCATGATAGAAGGTTATCACCTTCATACTGAAACATCGGGGGAACCTAACCAGCTTTCTTGCATAGCGTGATAACCTCAACAAGCCTATGCTGCCAACATACATAGGGGCCTTGATAATTAGAATAGGGTTTTGGTGTCTATGATATTATATAAATATGACAAGCAACCCAAAATAGTGCTGGTTTAAGAGAGTAAACCCTTGTTTCATTAGTCATGGCTCCTTGGTAGGCGTAAGGGTTTAGGGTTTAGGGTTTAGGGTTACTGAAGGCTAAGGGGCTCTAGCAAGCAGGGCGCAAGTAGGGATAATGCCTACTTGATAGTAATTCTCAGAAGGGTCAGGATTCAGAGTTCAGGGTTCAATAGCTTACCTGTTCAGTACCCTGAGCCTCCATGTAGAATTTACGATGCGAGTGCAGAAGGCCCGTTGGTCTGCGTACACCGTTGAGTGGTGACTTCGAGGCCTTGAACCTCCCGATGCTCGAACTACCGCTCAGGCTCCCTAACTATAGGAGCCTTAAGAACCAGCACTGGATATGGATGTATATTTGGGCATCTACTCAGTTCTATCTAACTCTATAGGTATCATGGCTACGACTATACAAGGTCAAACATATGCGGGCTGAGGGTGTCGATGCTTGCCAGTCCGCGAACCCCTATCAACTCCCTTTCAGCGCAAGCTGAGGCAGGAGCGAGATATCGTAGTGATTCTCGTAGTTAGCCTCCTTGTAGGCCTCCCATTTCCTGCCGCTTTTAGGGCATAGTGCCACATACAAACACGGAAGCGTTTTGTTTGGGGAAAGGATGGGGGGATGTGGACAGGGCAGGCAGCCTTTGTGGGAAACAATTTGTTGATTGGTTTGGGCATCCCTTCTATTGACAGGAGCCCCAAAATCTCAACCGGGGCTACTCGGGATCCCTTAGGCAAGCACATGTTCATGAGTCGTGGGCACGTATGTTTAGTAAAGCTAGAAGTTCGTGGCAAAAATCCCAACGAGTCACTGGAGCATGATGTGGGTCTGAGGCGGTCTTGCGGAAGCAGCCTAAACTGCAAACTCCGGACCCAGGCATCCAGCCGCCTTAATTGAGCATGACGAAACAAAACTTGCAACATCGGAGACATGCCATCATCCGACAACTCCGATAGAGCAAAACTTTCGACAGCCTACATCCAACCGCTGTTGTGTCCCAGCTTGCTACAGGGGTCTGAATAGTTACCTATACTATCGCGGGGGGTGGGGGGGGCTCCTTACTATATTTGTTAGTAAATTATCATCTCCTTGGAACATGATGAGAACCCATGTAAAACAAACACGTGGCAGTCCTTTGTCTCGCGGATCTTTGAAGGCTCCAGAAAAAGAAAAAACGACGCCAAACAGAAGGCGTCGAAACAAATTGATGTACTGGTGGTCTGTCCCTGTAACACATTATGCAATCCTGAAACTACTGGTACAATGTCTTCAAGTCTTTTGGCCTCAGGCCGGCACGAGTGCTAACCTGTGCACGTATACAAACTACAAACTTGATTTTTTTCCAGGTTGCTCTCCGCTGGCTGCGAAGTAGGCTCATGCCATTCATACGATTGAATGAACCTGAACCCCTCTTAACCCCAAACCGTAAACCCCAATCCCTTAACCCAAAACCCTGAAGCTCTAAACCCTCAACCCACAAAATCTCCAAACCCTGAAACATTCAAACTTGAAATGCTTGATGTACCCTAAACCCTCTAGCACTTTAACCCTAGCCTACTAGGAAGAACATCCTGAACAAAGACCCTGGAGCCTAAAACCCTACAAACCCCGAACCCTGAAACCCTAAAACTCTAAACTCCAAAACCGCTGAACCCTAAACCCTAAACCCAAAACCCTAAACCCCTAAACCCTAATACCCAAACTCTATAGATCTCCAAAGCTTCAACAACTTAAGCCCAAAACCCCTACTTGGATCAGGGGATGTTCCTGGTGTCTACGGCGGAGGTGTTCTCAGTAAATAAGAGGATGCCTCCGCGATGTGATTGCTTCGGGAGCAGCTGGGGAGAGCTTGGGGAGTGGGTTGGGAGTTGTGTAGTTGGGAGCAGCTGGGGAGTGGGTTGGGAGCACTAAAGAAGATAACTGCCGAAACCGGCACTTGGGCCCCTCCCGAAGCCGACACGGATTCTTAAGGAAACCCGAACCGCCCTCCCGAAGACGACCCCGCTACTTGCCCAAAAAGAATTCGGACCTGCATCCGGAAGAAGGCAGAGCGAATTTGGCTTGAGGTGTGTCTTGGAGGGTGTTTGGCTTGGACTGGAAGGTAGTGAGTAGGTTGGGAGTGGTGGGTTGGGTAGAGGGTTGGGTACAGGCAAAAAGGTTGGGAGAGGCTGTTGGGAAGAGGGTGGGAGAGGGAGGGTCGGGAAAGGGTTGCGGGAGTGGGTTGGGAGGAGGTTGGGAGTGGGTTGGGAGGAGGTTGGGAGTGGGTTGGGAAGAGGTTGGGAGTGGGTTGGGAGGTTGGGAGGAGGTTGGGAGAGGTTGGGAGTGGGTTGGGAGGAGGTTGGGAGTGGGGTTGGGAGAGGTTGGGTTGGAGTGGTTTGGGAGGAGTTGGGAGTGGGTTGGGAGGAGGTTGGGAGTGGGTTGGGGGGAGGGTTGGGAGTGGGGTTGGGAGGGGGTTGGGAGGAGGTTGTGGGTTGGGAGGGGAGGAGAGGGTTGGGTTGGGAGAGAGTTGGCACCCAACACCATGCTTACAAAGACGACCCAGAGAAAACTGTGACCGAACACCACACTTACGAAGACGACCAAGCAAATATGCATACCCCAACACCCTTTCTTATATAGTGAGAACACCTACTTTGCAGACACCTGAAGAATGCGTGGATTGGAGGGTCGCGGGACTTAGTAACCCTAAGACCTCTACAGCTTCAAAACTCTGGAGCCCAAAAAATCAAACCCCAAAACCCTAAACCCTTAGACCACTAAAGTTTCAAAACTCTGACGTCTAAACCACTAAGCCCTAAATCCTAAACCCTCAGATCTCTAAAGCTTTAAGGCTTCAGAACTCTGAAGTCTAAACACTACACCCCAAAACCCTAAAACCCTCAGACCTCTAAAGTTCTAAAGTTCTAAAACTCCCCCAAAACCCCTAAACCTATAAAACCCTAAACCCTAACCCCTAATAACCCTAAACCCTAAACCCAAAACCCTAAACCCAAAACCCTAAACCCTAAACCCTAAACCCTAAACCCTAAACCCTAAACCCCCTAAACCCCAAACACGCAGAGAGAGTCGACCGCCGGGCCTCAGATCTACGTCCGCGCAGATGGCGACGAGGGGCATCAGGACGATGCTTACCACCTCCACTTAAGGGTTCCTTTAAGGGATCTATAGGATTTAGGGTTTAGGATAGTTATAAGGGCTCCTTTAAGGGTCCTTTTAAAGGGATTCCAGTTGGGAGTTTCCGAAAATAGGGGACCCTAGTATAGTACCCTAAATAATAGGATCCTTATTATAAGGAACCCCAAATAAGGTACCCCTAATACCACCTCCACTTAAGGGTTCATGGGTACTTCTACCACTATGGGCTATTAGACCTTATGGGTACCTTAACCTACCCTTAATAGGGTCCTAATAGGGATCTTTAGGGTCTAATAGCCCATAGTGGTAAGTGGGTGTATAGGGCTTCCACTTGAGGGCTCCTTTAAGGGATCTATAGGATTAAGGGTTTACGGGTGTTATAAGGGTGCCTTTAAGGGATCTATAGGATTTAGGGTTTAGGGGTGTTATAAGGGTTCCTTTTAGGGTCCCTTTAAAGGGATCTATGGGGAATCTATAAGGGAATAGGTATAGGGTTTAAGGCCTACTTGGAGGTTCATATAAGTCCCCTGATATCGGTTATAACTATAGTTACCCTACTTATGACCTCACTTATAACTCCCCATGAACCACCTCCAGGGTTTAGGGGTTTAGGATTTTAAAGGTTAGGGCTTAGGGCTTAGGGTTTGGGGGTTTAAGGTTTTAAAGTTTAGGGGTTAGGGTCTAGGGGTTTAGGATTTTAAAGTTTAGGGGTCCGGGTTTGGGGGTTTGGAGGTTTTGGGTTTAGGGTGTAGGGTCTACTGTTAGGTGATTAGGGGTTTAGGGGTTTAGGGTGTTAATGTTTAGGGTTTTGGGTATAGGGTTTAGGGTCTTTTGTTAGGTGTTTAGGGGTTTAGGGTTGAAGGTTTCGGGTTGAGGGGTAGGTTTAGAGGTATATAAGTTTAGGGTTGAAGGTTTAAGTGCAGGTTCGTGGCATCGGTTAAGGTGTGGTGTAGGAACCTGATTAAGAAACCCTGGGCCTACAATCCCAAAATAGCAGGATTCATGTAAGGAACCCTAATCAAGGCCCAAGGTCCGACATTAGTGGCGACTTCAGGGCTTAGGGCTTTGGGTTGTAGGGCTTACCCAGACCCCGGCAGGATCTAAAAAAGTAGATCCCTTAATCGGGGTTCCTATAAAGTACCCTTAAAGTAGTATAGGGCCCCAAATTAGGGGATCTACTTTCTAGAGTAGATCAGTAGATCCCTTAATGGGGGTCTGGGTAGAAGGAGTGCTCTCGGACATTATTGATTTGGGGCTTTCGGTGTCATGCCCTGGGTCCAGTTCCCGTAAATAAGCTCTGGACGAGTCTTACCCAGACCCCCGGGAGGATCCAGAAAATAGATTCCCTAATTTGGGGCCCTATACTACTAAGGGTACTTCATAGGAACCCCTTAAGGATCTACGTTTTGGATCCTCCCGGGAAACTGGGAATGCGAGAGAATTTAGGGTGGTTCCTTTCATGAAAGCAGGAATGTTGCCGTAAAACCAGCAGCGTAAGATCACGCAGTTGTCCAAATTAGGATATGCGCAACTCTGCTTCTAGCCACCAGCGAGACCATAAGTGTCTATGCTAAACGCTTCAGGAGACGTTGTAAGCATACAGGTCTATATAGACCAAGCCATAAGTAGCCAGATAACCGGAGTGCACTACGTACAAAAGCAGCGTGATAAACCTGAAGCCCACTCATACTGCTTAGGGATCCATTACAGGGAGCCCTTGAAAACTAGCTTCGTTTTAATCCATATGTAATGGTCAGATACTTGTTCGGAGTTCTAGGTTCTAGCTGGTGAGTCCTGAAATCAGTTTGGGTAGCCCCCAGCAGCAGGAAACCACGAGCCTTGACCTGTCAGTCGTCAGCGTCAAAGAGAAGTTATCATCAACCGCTTGGACTTTGGCCGCCTTGTAGCATGAATATATCCAATGTCTGGACCCTCCATGCCGGGGTCCGGACGCGGCCCCGTTCGGGGGAGGCCCGCTCTGCCTCGTGCTTCACAGGCTTTACATGTCAGCAGCCTCTGCTCAAGCCTCAGAGCTGCGGCGCTCAGCCGTCGTTCAACCTCCTGCTTCATAGCCAATGGCTCCATGTACCTTTATAGTATATAGATACTAAAGCCCCAAAGTAGTCCCTACATAGGAACTTTAAGGCCTAACTATATACTATATGGGCACATGGAGCGCTTGTGTAACCGCTCGGTGCTCACCCGTAACAAGCTGGATATGCTGGGATTTGTTCACCTACAACAAGCTGAGCAAGCCCTGAATGTGCTTGAGCCATGCAGGTCATACCGCATGGGTCTATGTACCCACATGCATGACATAGCATATACTTGGGCCCTCATGTCTCTGTAGGTAGGAACGCGTTTCAAGCCCAAGTACAAACTAAATCGGTATCCAAGACCAAAAACTTAAAACTCCTAATCAAAACCCTGCACAGACCCTAAGAACCCGGTAACAGGTACAAGCCTCAACCCTAAGCCCCGAAACCCTAAACCCCGAAAACTTAAACAGGCTGGCGGTCTCTTTTACCTGCTCCTCATACTGCCTAGTATAGCCCTAATAAGGAAACCCTAAGTAAAGAGACCACCGACCTATATCACCCAAACCCCTAAGCCCCAACCTCTGAAGCATTCCCTAGGGATCAAAATAGCCCAAAAGCCTCTTTTTGTTTGGGCTTTGGGCCCAAAAGCCTTAAAAGATGAGTCCTTAGATCCCTAAACCCAAAAGATCCCTTTAAAGGACCCCTTATAGATCCCTTTAAAGGAACCCTACATGAGTCCTTAGATCCCTAGGGCATGGGCTTGAGAAAAAGCGAACCAAGAGGGCCACCGCCGAGTAGAAAACCAGAAGAGTCATCCCATGGAGCCTCGAAGCAGGGCGAAAAATGTTCGTACATCTCATACGCCCAGTAAGGTAAAATGCTATAATACTTACATATACTGTCCCGAAGGCCAACTTGGAGGTTCATGGGCGGTTATAAATGGAGCTATAAGTCCACATTGGTGGGTTATAAGTTCTTATTACAGTTACCCTACTTATAACCCCAATTATAGCTAGGTACCCGTGAACCTTCAAGTGCAGTTTAACTGTTTAAGATGCTCTTCAGAGCTTCTGTTGGGCTTGATATCTGAACAAGGGTGCTTTCCCTGAGACTCCAAGTATACAAATAGAACCGACTTTGGCCTGTAAAGTCCGTAAATGGTACCTGCTCCGGGCTTTTTGGAGTCTTAGGGGTATTTGGGGAGTCTGGGTTGGCCGTTCAACTCTGAAATATATATATATATATATATATATATATATATACATATATATATATATATACATATATGTATATATATATATATATACAGAAGGTCCGTTATAAACCCAAATAGGGAAAATAACAAACGTCCCAAACCCAACCTAGGAGTGCTATGCGGGCTTGTAGTGTTCATCAGGGCTCTGCAAGGGTTTAGGCTGCAGGGCTTACCCAGATCCAACAAAGTAGATCCATTAATGGCGGTTCCTATAAAGTACCCTTCGTAGTATAGGGCCCCAAATTAGGGATCTACTTCCTAGATCCTCGAAAATTTCTGGGTAGAGGATTGAAGGATCCCAGAGACTCCAATATCCCTTGATTAAGGAACATTCCTTAAATTATAGTAGGATCCCCAATATGATTTAAGGAATATTCCTAAATTAAGGGATATTGGAGTCTCTGGGATGTCTGAGATGGACGATTGCTGCTGAAGGTTCCAGAACCAAGCGATCGCCAACCTCTTTGTTCCAGGAGGTGGTGCGACGGAGGGCTCACGTCATAAGGGTCCCTAAACCCTAAACCCTCAAACCTAAACCCTGAACCCTAAACCCTCAACCCCAAACCCTGAACCCTAAAGCCTAAACCCTGAACCCGCTTTGCAGCAAGGCTCCTGCTATGCAGGGCAGCCGAAAAGCCTGAAACCAAACCTCTCCCCGCTCAAAAGTGGAAGAGGAAAGCCACAGACGCTTGTCCAAAACACTGACAAAGCAAAAACACACTCAGCACTTACTCACTCACCCACCCACCCCCCACGCACACACTCACTCACTCACTCACTCACTCACTCACTCACGCACAACCTACGCACATGCACATGACACATTGGAAAAAACTCCCGTTACATCCTTACACCCTAAGGCCAGCACCCTCAACCTTTGCGATTGTCCCGCCGAGTACCCGGCATCGTGTCGCACATCAGGTCATGGCCCAGTGTCTCGTAGTACGGGTAGATGTTACTGCCCAGAATGTTTCGGTTTGGGGTATCAAGGTGTTACACATGAGGTCACGGCGCATCACCCGGCGTCCGATTGTCTGGGTTTGGGGCGGTGTTTCACTGTTCGAGCTTTTTGAGACACGGATGCGCCAGACCTTCTCACTCAATGTAGGCACCTTGGGGTGAAGTCTAGCCGGTCTAGCCTGCATAGTTCACCTCATGTATACAGGTTTTAAGTTTGCGCTGGAATGTCTTGGGGTTTAGGTATTCAAGTAAGGCTTCAGCCTTAAAAAGCACCCTGCACCGACCTGTCTTTCCGAGAAAAACAACGTGTGTGTTGAAAATGCTTCCCGGACCTTTTGTACGAGACCCGCAATAATCCGCCAGCATCATGAGGGTATGAGCTTCCGGAGAAAATTGATTACCATACCCCCCAAAATATTAGGATCCATATAAAAGAACCATAGGGTTCGGAACCGGGCTCGTTTGTTACCTACGGTTGCGTGGTAGGACCTGGGATCGCAACACTGAAGTTCTGGCCTGATCTACCCGAGTCTACCGTAAATGCTCAACACGAACCCCCATCTGCGTTGCCAGGGGTTTAGGGTTTGGGGTGTGTGCGAATCACACCACATACATGCGCACGTGCGCACAACCGGTTTCAACCGGGTAATAGCCCTGCAGAAACGCTGAAAACAACCTGAAATTGCTGGCCGTTAGCAGAGAATCAAGGAATGATAACAGTGCAACCCGTGTTAGGTCAGTGTAGGTGCGTTGTCAGGGAACGGTGCTATGTAGATCTCTTCGTTACCCACCAGGTCAAACACGAGCAAGTAACCCTGAGCGGAGTGCCTAGCAGACATCAGCTCTGAGGCAAAGCCGACAGACCTGCAATCAGCAGCTGCTCAGCACTGATCACGTAAAACCGACCACCACTACTACTAGTACTACTCGTCCTGCTCTTCGAATACAACGACCACGACGACGACGACGACGACTACTGCTACTACTACTACTACTACTACTACTACTACTACTCCTGCTCTGATGCCTAAACCCCCTACCCCGAAGACATAAACCCCCAATGCAAAGGCCTGAATCATTATGTCTGTCTCCCTGTATTGCACTGTGTAACCGAGTTCGTATGCCTTTATACACACATTTTCCCAACCATGAAAGCCCCTGGTATGAAACCCTACAAAACCCTATTCTTTCAAAAAATCACCGATAGAACTCTGTTATTATTAGAACCCTATCAACCCTCACCCCCGAACCCTTCTACGCCCTCACCCCGCCTTGTGCAGGCTGTTAGTGCTTCCGATGCATTGAGGTTCCGGACGCCATCGCACACCATCTGCGTCGGACCGGCTGTGCTTGGAGTTTCGGACTTACGTGGACCCCGAAAGTATGTAGAATAATAGCCTGTTGTAGGTATTGGGCCCTGATTTGTCCTACTTTTAGGGGGTTTGGGTAGGGTTAACAGGTTGCGTTTGTCATTTAGGCGTCGGATTCAAAAACGGGGGTTGTGTTTAGAACTTCTAAGGGCCCAGAGTTCAGGGCGTTAGGGCATGGGAGTTTAAGGGTTCAGGGGATGTCGGGACTATGGGTTTTAAGGGTTTAGGGTTTAGGGTTTAGGGGTTTAGGGTTTAGGGTTTAGGGTTTAGGATTTAGGATTTAGGGTTTAGGGAGTTTTAAGGGTTCAGCATCCAACTAATGGTTTAAGTTTCAAGTTAATATAGGGGCCGAAATCATTGGAATAGGGTTTTGAGCCCCACATTCTAGTATAGATATAATAAGGAACCCCAAAATAGTACTGTATAGGTAACTTTTAAGACCACTATATTAGGGTTCAGGGTTTCTTGCGAACCCGATTGAGCTCCTCTTTGAAGGTCCAGGGCTTCGGGTTCGCAGCTGGGGCTTCCATAACTCGCGGAATTTATGTAAGAACTTCTTTCGGTGTCTGCAACCCCAAAATCTTAAAACCAAGAACTGGAACCCTACATGTCCCTCCCCCCCAACCTCGTGGAATGTGCAGAATGTGTGCGTCTCTCTCTCTCTGACTCTGTGCGTCTGTGTTGCTGTTGTTCTCCATGTGCGTCTTTCTAGCTTCCTGAATTATAGTAAGGGTACCCTTGTTTCCTACTATTCAGTTTCGATAAGGAAACCCCAAACCAAAAAGGGCAAAAGGGTACTTCCCGAAAGGCTCCATGTACCTTTGTAGTAGATACTTAAGCTCCAAAGTAGTCCCTATATAGATACTTTAAGGCCTAAGTATATATGGGTACATGGAGCCTTAGGGTTCTTAGGAACCATTGACATGTTTGCGGGCGCCATCAGCACGCGAAATCGCAAGGACCTGACGACTTACCTCAGTAGACAGGCTCGGGGTTTGGCTGCTAATATAGAGGCTTAAATAAATACCAACTTTGGTTTTTCTTTTTTGTACTTATAGTGTAACTTCTAGCTATGAAGGCCTCTATGGTACTTTTTTTTCTTACTACATGCTGGTCGCTCCACATGAACTTGCAACGTGTGGGGCACATGCATTTAGCCCGCATATTGCCTCCAGGCCTCCTAAGTTAAGAATCCCTAAACCCTAAACCGATAAACCCGAAAGCCTCAAACCCTAAACCCCATGACAGCTGCCCACAAACATGGGTTGAGGTCTGCAGCTGTCAGAAACAGCCTCGTCTAACCGGGACCCGCACAGAAACAAGTTGAGCAAAGTGTCCGAGATTTTAAGGTTCAGGGTTAAGGGTTTAAGGTTCAGGGTTTAGGGTTCAGGGTTGACGGCGCGGTTGAGCTTTACAGCGCGAAAACCCTGCGAAACCTGCTCGAACAATAAGCCCAAAAGGCTGTTTGTGTTTAGAGTTTAAGGTTCTAGGATGTAAAAGTTAAAAGGTTCGTGACTTGGGGTTTGGGTGTAGCGTTCAGGGGAGGGTTTAGGCTTAAGGGTTTAACAGATTAGGGGCTTAGGGTTAGGGCTTCGGGTTGGGCATCTCGTGCAAAGAGCGGCAATGTCAGGCCTCGGCAGGGGTCGTTGCCCACGTCGCATTGGTGTAGACCTCAAAACTGTTGGGTTCAGGGTTCAGAACCCTAAACCCTAAACCCGATACCCTAAAAACCCTAAAAACCCTAAACCCTAAACCCTAAACCGTCCCAACCTTACCCCAACCCCAAACTCACCCCGAGCCCTGGCAGCCTTCATGAAACTCACTTGGAGGATCGGGGGACTTAGTAGCTATAAGGGGTTCCTTTAAAGGGGTCCTTTAAAGGGATCTATAGGGATTCTGTAAGGGTTTAGGGTTTAGGGGACTTAGTAACTGGTTATTTTAGGGACTTATAAGTACCATAACCCCAATTAGGGTCCCCTCTAGGGTACTTATAAGTCTACTTACTACCTACTTGCTAAATCCCCCGACCCTCCAAGCATGCACTGGAGCTCCATCCTCCCAACTGCCTCCTGTAAAAGAACAGCAGTCCACACTTCGCCAGCTTTTCGATTTAGGGTGTACTGTAAACATCCCGAATGATTTTCTCAAGCCCTATTTTGCAACCACAAAGTACCGAAGAAGGCTGTACAGGGAAAGCTCAGGAATTTTGTTCGGTTTAGGTCTTTGGGCTTGGGCTTGAGGCTTGGCATCTTTGTAAGGGGCCTAGGGGTTGAGGTGCCTCGAGGCAGTCTGGCTCTGTGGCCCAACCTGAAGCGAGCCCTCCGGAATATGCTGGCGAATTTAATCGTCCTTCCTTACTTTGGAATGTCCGGAGTATCCACCTGTCCCTGCACGACTGTCTTAGACGAGATCATACAGGAACAGCCTTCAGTGCTCCAATGTCACTCAATGACTAGTGCAGGGGGCTCCTATAAAGAAAAGCTTGAACATGTTGTTGAAACTGCTACCCAGAGCCTCCAAAACCCTTAATTAAGGAATATACCTTAAATTATAATAGGATCCCTTATATGATTTAAGGTATATTCATTAATTAAGGGGTTTTGGAGGCTCTGGTTACATGAGTTTTGAGGGCACCTTATAGAACAAACCTTTGACCGACTCATAGTTTACGTGGAAACATGGCCTCCGACGTTGCAGACAGTGTCTCCGGATTTTACGATTACCCTTACCATTGAATTCGTATTGTAACTGTTGCTATACAAGTGCTGATACATGAAACTAACTACTACTTGTCCGGAGCCCGCCATAGGGCTTTGGGGGCCTGGCGTTTATGTTTGCATGCCTTACGGTTCAGAGTTTAAGCCTCAGGGTTAAGTGAAGAATTTCTGGTTTTCGGGCTGAGGGCCCCGAGATACCTAGAAAAGGGGCCTATAGACTTACCTATACTGCTTTGGGAGGCTCGGTGTTATAACTATAGTATAATAGGCCCAAAACCCATGTCTAATCTCTAAGGCCCCTATATATCATAGAAACCTTATCATATCCCTTGCAGTAACCCTTATAATATGGAGCCCTTTCAAGGATCCCTAGTTCTAATTTTTGAGGCGTCTATATTAGCAAGACGAGGCGCGGTATAGAGCGCTGTTGCATCTCGCTCCACGTCCTTCCACAAAACGGTCGATCCGTTCCGCTGCTGACTTTGGAGGAGGATTTCGGGGTGGAGGCTTTAGAGTTCACGGTTGAAGCTTTCGGTTCTGGCAGGGTAGAATTATGGTCCCTTTTTGGGTCCTTATTATAATACGGCACCTAATATTTAGGGTACCCTAAAAGGGACCCTTATTTAGGATGGCTTCGTTCTTAAGGGAATAGGATTTAGGGTCAAGGCATCGGGGTACCATCCCAGACCTTCCAAAAATCCCTTAATTAAGGAATATACCTTAAATCATATTGGGGATCCTATTATAATTTAAGGTATACTCCTTAGTTAAGCGATTTTGGAAGGTCTGGGATGGTGTGTACGGTGGAGGCTTTAGGCCTTGGGGGTACAGTACTTGGAGGTTCATGGGTAGTTAGAATCGTTAGAAACGGAGCCATGAGTCCCCTCATGTGGGTTGTAAGTATAGCTACCCTCCCACTTATAACTCCCCATGAACCTCCAAGAAGGCCCTAAACCATACCTGGGGTCCTTATAATAAGGATCCTACTATTTAGGGTACTATTGTAGGGTCCCCTATTTTCGGAAACCCCCACCTATATCTTAACCTACCAAACCCTACTGTTTTGTAGGCTCTTATCATAAACCCTAGTATGGAAATTGTAGGGACCCTACAAAAAGTAGGCTCTGGTAGGTTTTACCCTAAAGCCTAAACCCCAACCCCAACCCCCCAGAAAGCGTAATTCTTAAACCCTGGAACCCGAAGATTCTAAACCCTAACACCCGAGAACTTCGACCGAACAGACCCTGCGAAGTCCCCAAACTCCGAAGCCACGAAGCCCAACACCCACTTAAGAATTAATACAAGGGCTCTATAATAATCACGCCATAGGGCCTTGGAGTAGATTATAGGATAACGGACTATATAGCGGGATACTACTGGTAGCGCTAGTTCACCGGACCTCCACATTAAATTGAGGATCGTGCTCTGATTTCAAGCATGTTCCACAACTCAGGGTAGAACCGGCTAGCGGCTGGCTCTCTGGGAACCATTTAATTATAGAAACCTCAGGCAGAGTTGTACAAGCCCTTATACAGCTTCCGATAAACAATCGACCCTCTCATAGAATAAATTGCTGCCCTGAAAAGAAGCCCTTCAAGGTACCCCTTTACATGAGCCCTATTAAAATAAAGCCCCATGGGACCCGAAGAGCTAGAAAGTCCTCAATCATGGATATCATGGGATTCTCCTGCGGAAGCTTCGCAAAGCTTTACCCAAAGGCCCCCAAAAGTAGTTCCTTTTTGGGGTTCATATATATACAGGAAACTCCAGAAAGTTGGAATATGGTTTCATGGTAGGATACCCTATAATTTACCATAGAAGGGTTGGGATAATCATATTCCAACTTTCTGGCTTCTACTGTAGAATCCTATCAGGTAATCCCAAAAAAGAGCTACTCTGGGGCTTATGGGCAGGGTTTATTTAGGGTTTAGGGTTTAGGGTTTAGGGTTTAGGGTTTAGGCTTGAGGGTTAAGGTTTGGAGCTTTGGAATTCAGCGGGCAAAACCTGAGATTGCGAGCCATTCTCACTGTGGAGGATTGTAGACTAGACATCAGGATTGCGTGTGTAACAGTATGCGCGCGGTGGGTGCGCCCTTTACTTTAGGAATAGGGGGCGCACCCACTAATCGCGCGCTTGCGTCAGCATGTAGTCCCGCCCCAACCACCCCAACTATTCTCAATTAGGGTTTAGGGTTCACCCCCCAAACCCCCCTCAATGGGGGGCTTTCTTGCTCTCTGCTTCCTTTCGCAGCTTGACATGTAAACACCAATCTTTCTCCAGAAATCACAACAGAAATGGTTTCTGTCGGGTTGTGGGTCCTCGCGGCCTGTGCCGGACGCTCGACGTAAAGCAAGGGTGCATTGCAATTTTTGTCCAGGTCCCCCCCTAGGACCGGCCTAGAGGCCCCTGGGTCCTCGGGGGCCCTTTTTGGAGGGGTCCCCCCAGCCAGACCCAAAAAGACATCAATGGTGAGGGATTTGGGGTCCTAGTTAGAACGGACTGACGTCCGTATTGTGTGAGGCGTAGCCGAGTCATTTCCGTCCCCGTATACCGGGAGGCTTTACCCTCCCTCACCGTCTTGTCGGGACGCTCGGCCGGGGGCCTCGGTCGGAGCCTCGAGCGCCCATGCAAATGGTCAGCGGCGCTCTCATCAGTTTAGGGTTTAGGGTTTAGGCTTGAGGGTTAAGGTTTGGAGCTTTGGGAATTCAGCGGGCAGAACCTGAGATTGCGAGCCATTCTCACTGTGGAGGATTGTAGACTAGACATCAGGATTACGGGTACAGGATTTGGGTGCTGGATGTGCGATTCAAGGTGTATTAAGCAAGGAGGCTGGGTTTAATATGAATGCTGCTCATCGATGTAAATGTACATATACATATACATATACATATAGATAATATGTACGTACAATATACATATGTATATACATATGTATATATATATATATATATATACCAGGACCCTCCAAACGACCAGTACTGGATGTCATTCTTTTATGATGCGGAAACCCCTCGAAGTGACTAGTTTTTAGCCCCACTATGTAAGTAACATAATACTACCATCACCAGCTCTTGAAGTGACATTATTGGACTTGAATATGTCGATCATTGTTGATAGAAGTGCTATATACAGCTTAGATTTTAGGGTTTTCGAGGGTCTGATATGAAGGGTTTCGGGATTTAGGGTTATAACATCGCGCAGTGCCTCGCACTTGCTCCTTAAGGTACATTCATGTGAACGACATGGCACCCTAAACCCCAAACCTTAAACCATATTTAACCCAGCCCGCTATAGATCTAGCCCCGGGGGCACTAACCCTTGAAGAGTTAATCCACCTGATAGCATAGGAAATCTTAAGCAGACACACAAGCACAAACTTTTAATCACACAGCACATGCACGATGGAGTGCCGGCAGAACCTCGGGCCAGGCAGCGAGGATTTCGCCCAGGGTTATCGGGTTTAGGGAATTAATTTGGGTTTAGGTTTAAGGCTTAATTCGAGGAAAGACATAATATAAGTTAAGGCGCGGTGCTGAGTGTCTTATGCAAAGTCTGGTCTGAGGTTTAGAGGTTTTAAGTTGTTATGGCCATTCGGGTTTTCAGAAATTAATGTTTGTGCTTGTGTGGGAACTTCCGGGTTTTCGGGTTTAATGTCTTTGGCTTCAGCATCCGGGTTTTCGGGTTTAAAGTCTTATAGGTTTCAGGTTGGGCGGCGAATGTAGGGATTCGAGATCTAGTTTAGGATTGCAGGAGTAATAGGCAGCCCCTGACCGGGGGCGAGACCTTAAGCCCCTACATATACAGATAGGGCCACATGCTGGCCGAAATATATGAATCAAATTGACATATATATATATATATATATATATTCGGGTTAACTTAATTATTTAGGTCTTCGCTGTAGTTATAACTCCGGGATTTAGGGCTTCGGATCTCGAGGGAGTTATTTCAGACTTAAGCAGGGTTTTTTTTTCTACCCATCGGAGCACTTGGCGACACCTTGACGCACTCGGCCGCGACGCCATGCCCCAGCTTCAGCGAGCAGTGCCGGGACTCGTCCGACGATGACGATCCTCCTAACTTCCGGGATGAGGAAGCAAAAAGGCCCGGCTTTGTGGCAAATGCCCGGCAAAAGCAGATCCCGGCCCGGATCGACCACCCCTGTCCAAGGCCAAGGATCTCTTGCCCAAGGGGCATCGCCACGAAACTGCACTCATCACTCGTTCATGGGATGGATGGAGCGTCATCTGAGTGATGAGTTGGACCTGGAGCTGAATGCCAAGTTTCAGGGCATTCGAGAGTCGCTCCAGATTGCAGCCGAGCATGCAGACCCACATTAGTCTGCGGGCCCACGGCCCATGCAAGGGTCTAGGAGTCTAGGGGGTAGGTAGGATGGGTCTAGGTCCTATAGGCTTTAGGTTGAAGGGCTGTATAGGATAGGATCCCCCCCCATTTTCCTTAAGCCCTAATCCCGGAGTGAATTTGGGGTACCCTAGTCCAATCGGGGTTGGGTCTCGAGGATCCTAGGCTTTAGGGGCGAAGGGCTGTATAGGATAGGATCCCCCACCCCCCCATTTTCCTTAAGCCCTAATCCCGAATCGAATTTGGGGTGCCCTAGTCCAATTGGGGTTGGGTCTAGGGGATAGGTAGGATAGGTCTAGGTCCTATGCTTTAGGCGCGAAGGGCTGTAATATAGGATCCCCCCCATTTTCCTTAAGCCCTAATCCCGAATCGAATTTGGGGTACCCTAGTCCCCTTGGGGTAATTAAGCCCAAGCCCTAACCCCGGCCCAAGGGTCTAGGGGATAGGTAGGATAGGTCTAGGTCCTAGGCTTTAGGCGCGAAGGGCTGTAATATAGGATCCCCCCCATTTTCCTTAAGCCCTAATCCCGAATCGAATTTGGGGTACCCTAGTCCCATTGGGGTTGTCTTAAGCCCTAAGCCCTAACCCATATATATATATATATATATATATATTAATCGCGGCGGACCCCAACCCGACTTATTCAAAATCCCGGCCCTTGCCCGGCTCCAATCTAACCCCTCAATCCCAAACCCGACCCCCCCACTCACTATGAAATCCCAAATATTCCAGCTTAAGCCCAAATGTAGAACCCTAAATCCCAAACCCAACCCTAGACCCTAGATCCTTAACAACCAGGCCTGAGGCCCAGCCCCAAGCCCAAATCCCGAACCCATAGTATCGGCCTTTTTGCCAATCCTTAAATCCCAAACCCAACCCTAAAGCCCACATCCTTAAAGCACGGGCCCGAGGCCCAACCCTAAACCCCATGTCCCGAATAACCCTATAGCCGCGGATCGATATAAAACTACATAATAATATAGTAAATATATTAGAGCCCAGATCCAGATATCGCAGGTGCATCTTCGTTGGCGGCTGGCTTGCGGCGCGGATGTGGCTGCCTCGTGGCCAAGGCCGCTTCAACCCATAATATATATAAGACCCTAATATTTATTCCCTGCCCTATATATTATAGAATTAGGGTTTAGGCTGTCGGGTTAAGGTTTCAGAATTTCGGATGTCGGGTGTGCATAGGGATTTGTTTCAGCTTCTATTCGGGATCAGGGGTGAGGGTCTTGTTTTGGAGTCATTTGGGTTTATAATAGGCCGGTCATTAGTGTAAAATCCCTAAGCCCCAAACCCTAATGCATTGGCTCGAAAACCTCGGCGTTGGGGGGTTCGGTGCATCGCTGGGAGAAGGTGGTGCACCGAACCCCCCAACCCCGAACACTAAACCCTTATAATCCCCTACTATTAGTAAGCCTTCCTGCGACGCAGGTGCTGGCGCGCTGCTGGATGATGGCTGGGATGCCTGGGCTCCCAGCTATATAGGGGTATAGTTTTTCTTAGGATATGGGTCTAGGGAGTTTTCGAGATTTAGGGTTTAGGGTTCGGGCTCGGGTTTCCTCGATATGTCTCGTCTTAAGGGTTGTACTAAATAGAGGGTTCAGGGCTTAGGGTTCTAGTGCAGTGTTATAAGGGTTTTTGACCCGGGCAAGGCTTCGGATTTAGGATTTGGGGATGCTGTTATCGCGGGGTCCTCAAACCCTTAACGTGAACCCTAAAACCTTGAACCCTAAACCCCAAACCCCGAACCTTAAGCGCCTACAGCTTTCGAGGTTTAGGGTATAGGGTTCGGGCTCGGGTTTCGATAGGGCTTATTTTTTGTTTATGGGTTCACATAGGGCCGAATTCTTTGTATGGATTACAGGTCAAATAGCATTCGGTCAGAGCTTTGCATTTAGGGGGTTTCGGATGCCTGGTTTTCGGGGGTCCTAAAACCCAAAACCCTTAACCCAAACCCTAAAACTTGAACCCGAAAACCCCAAACCCTGAAAACCCTACACCCCACAAAAAAACCTGAAACCCTAAACCCGAAATCCTATGTGGAGTTCAGCCGGAGAAATACCCTAAACCCCGAACCCCAAACCCTAAACCCTGCCAGGAATAATTCTTGGTCTTCCCCCAGGCCAGATCGGTATATATATATATATATATATATATATATATATATATATCGATCGAGACTATAGGTTTAGGAATACCAGCCCTCCGGCCTAGAACAACATTCGATTTTCTAAGCCCACCCAACCCCTGCATGCAGCACGAGCCGGAGTTGACTACTTCCATTGGCAGAGCTTTAGGCACAGCTGCGCTGCCGCGGCA